CCTACAGTAAACTACTCCGTTGCATCCCGTTTCTTGGTTTGCAGTTTCTTCACGCAGCTTACATCACTGGTGGAAACATTACGTTTATGTTTTACGACGGTTAAAATGTGTCAATTCGACTCACAAGTTTTCAGCGACACGGTAACGTTCGCAATGTTTACATTCCCACAATGGAATCGTGGAATGTCGCTTGACTACTCAGCTTCATCTGGATGTACTGATCTAAACTTACGTTGGTAGTAGAAATGCGACGTTCATATTGCCCCATATGGTTTAGGTTAATGTCAGATGTAATTAAAATAATTCAGAGAGAGGATTCTTAATTTAGGTCACCGACACCGTCGTTCGTTTTAAATTAATTGTAATTATCCTTAGAAAGTATTAAATTTGGCATCTTAGAAAAGAAATACAGTTCGCTCTACCACCATGTATAGTGTAATAAAGCACACTTTCGCCCTGAACTATTATAACGTTAAAGCACTCGGATGCAAGCATCCTCGTACTTTAACTATAATAGTTCAGGGCGAAAGTGTGTTTTATTACACTATACATGGTGGTAGTGCGAACCGTATTTCTTAATTAAATAACTTGAAATAGGGATAAGTGCTCAAAACATAGATAAGACACATGGTCCTGAAACCTCTGTACCCTACAGGATCTGAAATCTGACGTTTGATCACGGAAAAAGTTAAGAAACCATCACGTAGTATTGTGCTATTTTCACGCTTCATAGTGAGGGGTGACAAATGGCTGGTGGAACAGCACCAGCACACATTCAGGTGCAACTCAGCACAGCCAGTTGAGATGACCCCAGCAAGCCAGGAGCTGTTCCATCAGCCATTTGTCACCCCACGGTGTGAAAATAGCAAAATATATATAACTCGAACTTGTGATAAGTGCACAAAACATAAATAAGAGACATGGTCCTAACCTCTGTACCCAACAGAATCAGAAATCTGACTTTTTTTTATCGATCACGGAAAAAGTTGTTTTCGAAACCATCATATAAATCATTTGTCGTTCTCATTTGAACCCAAACGGACAATATGTCTGTGTACAGGCATTGCAGTAACATCTCAGGCGTTGAACATGCCACATGTGAAGCTTTGTCGGTATTCTCTTAAAATAGTATGATACCATTGCAATAGGTAACTGTACACCTCCACTTTTGTTAGTCATATTTTTGTCTCTCCATGATGCACAAAATTCTCACAATATGGAAAGTGCTTATTTTAAGCAGAATGACATTCTTGTACCTATCAAAAGTTTAGTTGTATATTTGATGAACTAGCATATAAAGTTGTTTTAGTTTTGAGTTAGGTCTGTTTCTCTATTGTCTGATTTAATTTCATGAAACATTCTGAACAAATAGGAGCTAGCCCAGTCATCTAAAGGGCTACACTTCACCATGCAGAGTTGCTTCCCTTGGTCATGCCAGAAACCTATGATCATTGGTTCAAATCCTAGTTTGCCCCAATATATTTCTAGGTCTGTTAACACCATGTCCTCACTTGTGTGTTTTAAAAAAAGTGTTTAACATCTGACACCCACATGATACCAGGCTTTTCTTCCACATTGGGGTAGCCTAGTGGTTAAAGCCTTCAGTCGTCACGTCGAAGGCCCGGGTTCGATTCCCCACATGGGTCCAATGAGTGAAGCCCATTTCTGGTGTCCTCCGCAGTGATATTGCTGGAATATTGCTACAAGCAGCATAAAACTGAACGCACTCTAACCAAATACCAAAATGAATGTTCAAACAAGGTGTATTGGGATCCAAAGTAGTTAGAAAGTTCATGATTAATGGTATTTTTTTAATTTCATGGTGTGTATCAATGCCACTGTGTAGTGCCAACAGGTTTGCATGTCAATGCAGTGGAGGGTTGGGTTTCTGGTTTAACCATATCCTGATTAATGAGGTTTCCCCACCCTCTCACCCACTCACTCATTCACTCTCATTCAGCCATTCTCACTCACTCACTCATTCACTCACTTTCATTCAGCCATTCTCACTCACTCACTCACCCACCCACCCACTCACTCACTCACTCACTCTCATTCAGCTATACTCACTCACTCACACTCTTATTCAGCCACTCTCACCCTCTCACTCACTCACTCACTCACTCTAATCAACCAGGCCTTGGACAATAGCGCTGCAGCATTTGTTTGGTAAAGCATCACATCAGTAGTAGTTTTGTACCTGTATTATAACTGCATATGTTCTTCTAATGCTGAGGACCACCGCCTAGAAGTAATGAAGTTCAGTTCAGTTCAATCACAATGAGTGGGAGTTTGTGCACTTTATCATTATTACAAACATGAATCTTTTATTCCCGTACTGCAATAGATAAAACCTGTAATGTAGTGCTCAGAGCAATCAGATGAAGTGTAAAACCAATATCAATATGTTAATTAGAATTAAATGTCAAAGTCAGCTCTACAAACCTGTTTGTGAAATTAAACCGATTTCAAAGATTAACAGATCTTTTTAAAAAACTACATGTTTGAAGCAAATTTATGATTTACTTGATAATATTTTAATACCGTACAAATGTAAGGTCGAAATCATATTCAGTTTGAACTGTCTGACCCGATAGGATAATCAGTGCTGTATTGTATAGCTCCACAATAGATATTTAAGCTCAACAATTATGTATCAGAATTGGCTTGCAGCTTTATGTCAGTATAGCCTTGTGAACTATAGAGTGAAATGAATGTAATTGCAGGAATAGCTAATGTCTGCAGGGAAGAGTGTTGTTTTGATCATTTGCCCTTGCTATTCTTTTATGAATTGCCCCGAGCTGTACTGGCCTTATTGTATTCTCCAGACACTACCACAGAGGGCCGCTGTAGGCCAATAGCTTCTGTAATGAAGAGACCAATTGGTTGGAACCCCTGCTGATATAAGTGTAACTGTTTGTATGGAAGTGGGTAGTCGGTGCTGCAGATTGATTGTATTCATGAATTTCATCAGTTTTGAGTAGCAAGCGAAAAATGGTTTAATCTATTTTCGAACAGGATGATCACTTATCTGGAATTTGTTTTTAGCTCACCTGGGCTGCAAAGCTCAAGTGAACGTCTGTCATGATGATGGTTTGTCAGTCAGTTGTATGAAGGCCTTTATATTTTTGATGTCTCATCTGAAAGCATATGGATTATGAAGCTGAAATTTTGTATGGATGTCCCCAACAATAGTGTCTCAGAATGCTCTTGCTGAAATTCTTGCTCAATCCTTAAATATGGCTGTCATGGTGGCCATATTGAAATTGTCATTTTGTACAATACTCCTTTTTGCATATATTATTATGTAGTAGCTTAATGAGAATGGAAGTTCATATAGTATATTTACCAGTGTGTTTATGCCCTCCACATGTCAATAAATATCAGTGTTCACGAATAGCGTCTGACCCTCTGACAAATCCGGCAGATTCGCCAAAGGTCTGATAGAAGTCTACAACCCGCCGGCCCCAGTGTCTGACTGTATATTTCACAATGACTTTGACTGAAGTTGTTATATGTGACATGTGTCACTTGTTTGCTGTCTATAAATCTTATGTTTGTTAAAAATTTCAATGCCAATTATATGAAATGTTAAATCTGAAATGTGTGTTTGACTTTATTCTATGGGTCCTGTGGATTTATAATGGGTCAGACAGACATCTGAAACTTACAGGACTCAATGTCCTGTTACTTTGAAACACCATTCATGGACACTGAAATATGTAGATTTACTACATTTTGGTTAAGTCCTCTGAAACCTCTTGTTGAGCTGAACTTTTTGTGTATATGATCACAGCAATCCCAGAATCTTTCAGAAGTCCTCATAGTATTGTAATCTTACTTTTAAAACATCCATTATGGCAATCATTATTAAAATGACATTTTGCTCATATTCTGACATTTCTGCAAGTATATCGTTGTGAAATTTGGTATTTAGGAAAGATTATTCCCATGTTGTTTTTAATATTATGATATTTTACTCTTTGATTTTTAAGCTCCTTGCAATATTGTTATAAGTTGCTGACAGAAGCTCTTACCTGATGTACATGATATCATGTATCAGTATTTAATTCTAAATAAGCAGTAAGTATGTGGTGATGCAAAAGGTTTTATTTATTTAACATATTTAAAGAGTTGTCCCTTAAATAAAGTTAGTGGTAGGAGTTCGGTGACACATCCCAGATTACACCTGGCCTTCCCCATACATTGTTAAGGTTTAGTGTAGTGAGTGAGTGAGTTTGGTTTTACACCACTTGTAGCAATATTCCAGCAATATCACAGTGGGGGACACCAGAAAAGGGCTTGACACATTGTACCCATGTGGAGTATCGAACCCGGGTTTTCGACATTATGAGCCAACGGTTTAACACTAGGCTACCCCACCGCCCCTTTAAGTGTAGTTGAGTAACAAGGCACAACAGGTTTTGTAGCTCTAACAGAAAGACACATTCAAATCAGGTGAAATATTACACCTAGGTCAGGACATCATTCATCTGTGCTAGGTTCACTCAAGATATCAGTGCTGCCAAATTTATGCAGTTCTCGTTGTCATTAAGTTGTCAAGGAAAGAGCATTGGGGTGGATCAAGGTCAAGGTTAGAACTCTTCCCTATGAACTTTTTCTGGTTGTTAGAGGCAGCTGATGGATGGGGTGGTCAGCCTTTTGACTTATTTTACCGTCGCTCTTTGTACACTGATGGAGTGGGTTGGTGTTCATAATATCAATCACTGGTTTCAATCTTCTCTCTCCCATGTCTCATGTGTTTCAGTTCCCTCTCTCCCACATGTCTTGTGTTTCAGCCTCCTTTTCCCCACACGTTACATGCTTCCGTCCCCTCTCTCCCACTTACAACATGTTTCAGTCTTCACCAGTGTGTTCTGTTGTTTTCCAACTTCTCACTCTGCAGCTGTTTCATGCTGGTGTCCCCCACCGTGATATTGCTGGAATATTGCTAAAAGCGGCGAAAAACCATACTCACTCACTCACTCCAACTGTTTCAGGTCAGGTACAGCTCCTCCTGAATGAATACAACCAGGGTCAACACCAGCATATCAGCCCTGATGTCCTGGAGCGACTCCGCCACCTAGTAAGGGAGGCAACTCAGGTCAGCAACCAGGCCTTGGAGTATGTGAGGAAAGATGACGAGACTTACTACAATAATTTCAAGTTTATTGTGGGTACACCATGGTCGATATATCGGAAACATCGCGGCATTGATCCCAAACTCAAGTGGTTACCAGAAGTCTACAAGGCACAGAAAAATGGTAAGACTTTCTTGGGCATAACTGCAGCAAGTGTATTTTTGTTGGATTGTTCATCAAATTGATGACCTGAAAACAATATGATTGATAAGAAAAGCAAGATTAATGGATGTCAACTTCTTTATTGTGAATAACTCAGCGCTTTGAGCCGTAACATGTATATGCTTGCTCCTTCATCACCTGATGAATAACTCCACGGTTCGGAGTGTATGCTTGCTCCTTCATCACCTGATGAATAACACGACGGTTCAGAGTGTATGCTTGCTCCTTCATCACCTGATGAATAACACGATGGTTCGGAGCGTATGCTTGCTCCTTCATCACCTAATGAATAACAGGACGGTTTGGAGTGTATGCTTGCTCCTTCATCACCTGATGAATAACATGACGGTTCGGAGTGTATGCTTGCTCCTTCATCACCTGATGAATAACTCGACGGTTCTGAGTGTATGCTTGCTCCTTCATCACCTAATGAATAACAGGACGGTTCGGAGTGTATGCTTGCTCCTTCATCACCTGATGAATAACACGACGGTTCGGAGCGTATGCTTGCTCCTTCATCACCTGATGAATAACACAGCGGTTCGGAGTGTATGCTTGCTCCTTCATCACCTGATGAATAACAGGACGGTTCGGAGTGTATGCTTGCTCCTTCATCACCTGATGAATAACACGACGGTTCGGAGCGTATGCTTGCTCCTTCATCACCTGATGAATAACAGGACGGTTCGGAGTGTATGCTTGCTCCTTCATCACCTGATGAATAACACAACGTTTGCTCCTTCTTCATCACCTGATGAATAACACGACGGTTCGAGTGTATGCTTGCTCCTTCATCACCTGATGAATAACACAGCGATTTGGAGTGTATGCTTGCTCCTTCATCACCTGATGAATAACAGGACGTTTCGAGTGTATGCTTGCTCCTTCATCACCTGATGAATAACATGACGGTTCGGAGTGTATGCTTGCTCCTTCATCACCTGATGAATAACATGACGGTTCTGAGTGTATGCTTGCTCCTTCATCACCTGATGAATAACTTCGACGGTTCGGTGTATGCTTGCTCCTTCATCACCTGATGAATAACACGACGGTTCGAGTGTATGCTTGCTCCTTCATCACCTGATGAATAACACGACGGTTCGGAGTGTATGCTTGCTCCTTCATCACCTGATGAATAACACGACGGTTCGGAGTGTATGCTTGCTCCTTCATCACCTGATGAATAACACGGCGGTTTCGAGTGTATGCTTGCTCCTTCATCACCTGATGAATAACACAGCGGTTCGAGTGTATGCTACTCCTTCTTCACCTGATGAATAACATTCAGGTGTTATTCCAAATATAGAAGTTGACATCCATAAATCTTGCTTTTCTTATGCATTTCACTTCTAAATGCCCTTCAAAGATTTAATGTGATTGATGTTTGCAAGGGTATTGCATTAATATCAAATCCCTAGTTATGTAAAGGAGATAGTTCTACTATTACCATGACGTTTGATTCCAGCTGATTAATCTCAGGTGTTGTCAATTGTATAAATTGTTTTCACTGAGATAAGACATGGCATGCAATATGGCTGGTGAATTATCATGTCATCTGTGTATTTTATGCCATCTGTTTCATTTGTAGATATATATACTCTAAATATATACTCAGACTTGTACAGGTGGCAGTTTGCCATGAACTTTTAGTTGACTGAAGTTAACAATACCGATTTCTATTTTATGCAGTTAAATTCACATTTTTCAAATGATTTTGATAGTCAGCAAATCAAGAAAACTTGGATGTTGAGGATTTTTACTCTACTGCTGAATTGAATCAAACCGCCACCTCCAACTCTCTTGTCACATGCTCTTCTGATATTTGTGACATTTCAGTAACCATGGTAACCATGTGAGAAGAACATTCCTGAGTTTGATGACAAGGATACCTGCATGCTTTTGTGATTGATAAAGATTTACCAATATATTGATCTGGTCAGCCATAAATGTTACTATCACATGATTCCTTGTCAACTTGTTGCCATCCAGAACTGAAGGTCAAGACATCAAGTAATACATTAATAGTCTCCCTAAATCACTCTGTACACTTGCCATGGCAGTTAAATGAAAGGTATCGAATACATGATGACACGCCGCATGTTAAAATCAATGTGTATTTGTCTCCTAATTTTCTATCTGCAAGGACTCCTATCGATAATCAATGCCGAACCGTACAATTTGATTGATTTTGCTCCATTATGCTGCAACAGCCTTTCTTTCAAGTCGGTTTGACAAGTCATCGCTAGTGATTTTAAGCTGCAGTGATTGTTTGTGTTTGTTTGTTGTTTAACACCACAATCACCAATATTCCAGCTATATGATGTGAATACATGACGCGTTTTATGGATAACAACTTCTTTTTTATTCTTTACATGAGGTTTCAGAGCTATTTCTTGCTCCTTCATCAGGTAAAGAATAAAAAAGAAGTTTTATCCATAAAACGTGTCATGTGTTCATGTTCGTCCAACTTCTAAATGCCTATCAAAACCTTTATATGAGGCCAGATTTTATTTCTTGTTTTACAGATCCGCCGGTCGTATTTTTTCAAGAATAAGATTTATAAATTTATTTTGCCCCTTAGAAAATGAAATCCTAATGTTTGATTGGCCAAAACTGTAAAGAAACATTTTTTAAGATTGTAATAAATTATCAAAAGTAAAATACTTTATATATTTATAAGGAATATTACTTTGACTGGTGATTTTTTTTTTTTCCCCACCTGCCTTTAGGTTTACTTAGGACAAAAATCTGTAAAACAAGAAATAAAATTGGTCTGGCCTGATGATGGTTTGTAAATAATCAAGTCTGAACAGACAATCCGATGATAACATCACTGTGCCTTTGGGATATCATGATACCTGTCAACCAAGACAAATATGGGTTCCTGAAGATCAGTTCTAGACCAGATCTTCACAGATATTCAGTATTTGTGATTCAACAAGGTCATGGTATTGACAGATACACATTTACATCGGCGACAGTATATCAATGTCTGATCAATGACATTTTATTCTTGAGCAGGTTGGGACTATGTTAAATTTTGTCTGTGCAGTGCTTTTTCACAGTTATTGAGTACTGATTTGATCTAACTTGCCCTTATCTTGGTAATTCTAGCATAGAAGGTAAAAATTAGAAAAATATTTCTACATGGTTCCCTCTATACCTATGAGGATAATCCTGTGAGATTTGAGATACATGTCTGCCTAGTGAGTGAGTGAGTGAGTTTGGTTTTACGCCGCTTTTAGCAATATTCCAGCAATATCACGGCGGGGGACACCAGAAATGGGCTCTGCCTAGCTGCCTTTGTCAAATGCACTTCAGAATATGATATGTTCATTGTTATAGCAGTAGTATTTAAATTCAGTGCAGGATGAATCATAATCCAATTATTTTGCATTAAATATAGCTTTAAAGACACACCTTAAACCACAAGGGTCTATATCTAAAAAATACTAGTGTTTAGGTATAAATAGTCACTGTCGGGGTGAAAAATATATGCCAATCACACCGCTGGCAATTTACAGTTGGGGTAGATAGAGACCAAGGTCATCTTGTTGAATTTGTTCTGCAAAGGACTTGGTGTATTGATCTTGTTACATCCCTTTCATTTTAAATTGTGCTAAGACCTTGACATGGATGGATGGATGGATGGGTGGATGGATGGGTTGATAGATAGGTGCTAGTTTTTTCATTGTGTACTACTCAGCAGTTGTTAATGACCGAAAAGCATCGGTGGGGTAGCCAAGTGGTTCACTTGTCACACCGAAAACCTGGGTTCGACTCTCCACATGGGTACAATGTGTGAAACCAATTTCTTGTGTACCCTGCCATAATATTGTTGTAATATTGCTAAAAGCGGTGTGAAACTAAACTCACTCACTAATGACCCCAAAACTAGTCATCTTGAGCCAAGGGTGTGCTCCTTCACAATATGTCGGTGTGATTTGTCATACCATGTCAGTAAAAGAATAACACATGCCATAAACTCTCTGCATATACAGTGAAATACACGTACTATAGGCATGTGGCTTTTCAGTACTGAGAATGAAAGACTATACTGTGTTAAGACTAGCAGATGTATAAATTATGCTTTTGGATTGTGAAATCAATACTGCCTTATTAAGTATTAATGGTTTCACTTTCTGTTTTAAAAGAGGGATACTTTGGGATCAGTTTTTCATGAAAGTCAGCATATTTTTTAAAAATAATTTAGATAATTTCCAGTTATGAAATAACAAGATGGTTTATGAGTCAATGTTTGAGGTTGTCTATGGCGTAAACTGATGGTTTTACCCTCACTGTATCATCCCATCATGGTTGTACAATCTCACAAGTGGGAGTTCTGTCAAATTTCTATGACTATACAATGGTTTTTACAATCTCACAAGTGGGAGTTATATGACTATACAATGGCTGTACAATCTCACAAGTGGGAGTTCTGTCAAATTTCTATGACTATACAATGGCTGTACAATCTCACAAGTGGGAGTTCTGTCAAATTTCTGACTATACAATGGTTGTACAATCTCACAAGTGGGAGTTCTGTCAAATGTCTATGACTATACATTGGTTGTACAATCTCACATGTGGGAGTTCTGTCAAATTTCTATGACTATACAATGGTATACAATCTCACAAGTAGGAGTTCTGTCAAATTCCAAAGTTTGTATACAATGGTATACAATCTCGAAAGTGGGAGTTCTGTTAGATGATTTGAAAACGTTAACATTTTTGTCTTGTTCAGTCAAGACAAGCCACAAACTCTGAGGACGAAACAAATGAGGTTCACATTAGTCCTCTGGACAAGACCTAAAAATACGTTTTTCTGAGGTTGTTTATAATTTCCCAAGTGAGAGTTCTGCTCCACAAGCCCTGAGCTTGCCTGCTTTGTGTGGGCCATCCACCTTAACCTGGCTGTTAGCACCAGTTGTCTGTGTCTACACCATGAAGTATGTCAGCTTCATACAGAGATATTCCTGTTAGGGAGACCAGGCCTCCAGGTCACAGCTTATCTTGCCGATCCCCTCCTCAAATGTCTGCCATGCTAATGCCTGGTGATACGCCATCAGTATTGAGTGTAATAAGGCATGTTGATCGTGTCTTGATCCATCGGACACCTGTTTAGAAAGATGATCCAGATTGTGCCTGAAGCATGAGGTCTGTTTCTGAACAAGGCGTATGTCTTGAACTTGTATTAAAACTGGAAGAAAATGTTTTGTTTCACTGATGTTGCTAGAGATATTGTTTTAATTGAATATGAGTCACATGACCCTGACATTTTTTAAACAATATATAGTACTCAAAGGAAGTTGAAGAACACTGGATTCTTCCATATTACCATAATTAATGTATCATGCCACATGTTGTTTAACTTTGTTTGAGTAGCATATTTCTGTCACTGAAAGTATCATTTTATCACAACTCATTTACGTTTTCAACACATCTAGCATATCCTGTGGGCAAGTGGGCATTATTTCCTGATTATTAATTTTTCAAGCATACTTATAATGGCATAAACAATTTCTATATTAAAAGAGCTTTAGATGCCTCTCCTTCACAAATTCCCCTCCTCAACCCACCCAATGCTATCATCCATGGTTTTTCTGCTCAAGATTCATTTATACAGACTTGTGGACCCTTGGTGTTTTTGGTTCAGAATGTAGGGCCACAACAACCTCTGTCAATGCTGTTTGTCATACAGCAACTAAGTATAGATGGATGGTGCTATTTGACTGCAACCCTCGACGATCAGGGTTAGAATTGATCTTAGAAACTCATGCTTGTCTTAAGAGGCAACTGATGAGATCAGGTGGTCAGACTCGCCGACTTGGTTGACACATGTCATCGTATCCCAGTTTTGTGGTTCGGTGCTCATAACGCCCATCACATGATTGTCTGGTCCAGCCATGAGCATTCACTGATTGTTTTCATAAGCCTGAATGCTACCATGTGTGGAATTTAGCAACAAATTTACAAGGGGCAATGAGATCATGCTGTTGTAATGCTAGTCTGTCTCACAGTCCCGGAACCGCATTATTTTCCCTACTGCCAAGCCCTCCCTGCAATGTAGTCTGTCTCACAGTCCTTGAACCACATTATTTTCCCTACTGTCAAGCCCTCCCTGCAATGTAGTCTGTCTCACAGTCCTTGAACCACATTATTTTCCCTACTGCCAAGCCCTCCCTGCAATGTAGTCTGTCTCACAGTCCTTGAACCACATTATTTTCCCTACTACCAAGCCCTCCCTGCAACGTAGTCTGTCTCACAGTCCTTGAACCACATTATTTTCCCTACTGCCAAGCCCTCCCTGCAATGTAGTCTGTCTCACAGTCCCGGAACCATATTATTTTCCCTACTGCCTAGCCCTCCCTGCAGTGCTAAAGCCCTAAATGAAGCAAGTCTAGATTTCCCCAGGTTTCTCACAGTGCCTGAACCACATTATTTTCCCTACTGCCTACCCCTCCCTGCAATGTAGTCTGTCTCACAGTCCTTGAACCACATTATTTCCCCTACTGCCAAGCCCTCTCTGCAATGCTAAAGCCCTAAATGAAGCAAGTCTAGATTTCCCCAGGTTCTGAATCTCTGGTCTCCCTGGGGCACCTTTTCAATTTAAATGGCCTTGTTTGTTACTATCAAAATTATATATGTTCAGTGACTAAGCGTTAGTCTATTGTAATGCCAACTCCTGCATGCAACAGCTTCCCACAGAAGAGTAAGCGAGAATTTCTGATGCAGCATGCAGTGATGGAATGCCATGTCATCTGAGTATTCATGTCAAATGTTGTGTTGAGTGTTTGAAACAATCCTATCATGCAACTGGTCACAACAAATGTTAAACCACTTATCTACAATTTATTGGGTCACATCTATTTTGTAAGGGCAATCTATACATCATCATGTCATACAGTAATAGTACTATTACAGAACGGGATCTGATATATTGGTGCATTTCAAACTTTAAAGAAGAAGATGTTGGTTTCTGCAATACAAGTGAGGCATTAAACTAACGCTTAGTCTCTGAATTTATGTAATTTTGATAGTAACAAATAAACCCATTGAACAGGAGCCCCATGAGTTGGGAGATTCGGAGATCCTGAACCTCAGGAAATCTAGACTTGCTTCAGTGAGTGCTTTAGCATTGCAGGGAGGGCTAGGCAGTAGGGAAAATAATGTGTTTCAGGGACTGTGAGAAACCTGAGGAAATCTAGACTTGCTTCATATAGGACCCTAGCATTGTCGGGAAGGCTAGGCAGTAGGGAAAATAATGTGGTTCAGGGACTGTGAGAAACCTGGGTCAATCTAGACTTGCTTCATATAGGACCCTAGCATTGTCGGGAGGGCTAGGCAGTAGGGAAAATAATGTGGTTCAGGGACTGTGAGAAACCTGAGGAAAGCTAGACTTGCTTCATATAGGGCCCTAGCATTTTTGGGAGGGCTATAGGCAGTAGGGAAAATAATGTGGTTCTAGGACTGTGAGAAACCTGAGGAAATCTAGACTTGCTTCATTTAGGGCTTTAGCATTGCACGGAGGGCTTGGCAGTAGGGAAAATAATGTGGTTCAGGGACTGAGAAACCTGAGGAAATCTAGACTTGCTTCATTTAGGGCTTTAGCATTGCACCGAGGGCTAGGCAGTAGGGAAAATAATGTGGTTCGGGGGACTGTGCGACAGACTAGTGAGGCCATTACCCATCACTGGACAATGTCATATTTCCCTGGTGAGTTAGACAATGATTATTCATGCCATCAACCAGTGCTTCACCAATCTGGTGCCATTTTTTCCAGGCAACTGTGATGCAGTATTGCTGATAGTCAACTACAAGGTCACTAATCCATTAGCAGCAGCAGGTCAACATGATGAAGTCAGGTGTGGCTCCAGACACGGCCTGCAGCATGGAATGCCAGCAATTTCAATGGCATATGTGTATCAAACTACATCAAGCATGCATGAGATTTGTTATGAAACCAAGGCATTGTTCAGCCTGTGAATACCATGCTGTGGGTCTCCATGTAGGCTATAAAGTACAGGTGTCATAAACCGATGCAGTCATGCAGGCTGGCTTTGGTTTCAACAGAGGCTTCACCTGCAGTAGACTTAACTCTAAGTCTCTAAATATATATTATTTTGATCAAACAAAGGGTATATTGAAAGCGGCCACCAGTGAAAAACTGAAACTTGCTTCATTTAAGGTTTTCACCTTGCAGACAGGGAAATGATGGAAGGGAATTTTGATAGAAACAAACAATTTTTTTTAAACTGAAATGGAGCCCCAGTGAGATGGGAGACATGTGGAAATCTAGACTTGTTTCATTTAGGGCTTTAGCATTGCAGAAAGGGCTGGGCAGAAGGGAAAGTAATGTCGTTCAGGGGCTGTGAGACAGACCACCCCCATATCCCCTAATGGTCATACTAATGAAATTGTATATCATCATGTTCAGTAATCTTTTATCAATTAATTTCATTTATGTTGACCAAATGTATCATCTCATGTTCATTCATCTGAGGTGCTATGGTGTAGTGTTTTCCACACAACTTGTGTCCTTAAGTAAGGGCTTCAGACTATTTTCTGATCCACTGAAGACTAACTCATATGTTATCATTCACATGCGATATCAATAATTATCTTTTGGTGTTCGATATGTCATACACTCTTAGGTCCAGTCTATTTTGTGTTATAAAGCTTTGAGTAGATATGGTTTTTTTAAATACGGTCAAATCCCGATGAGACGAATGCCGGTGTCTCGAATATTATGCATAACTCGAAGTACCTGTTGGTCCCGACCATTCCCTGTTATAGTTGTCGTCATTTGATTTCCGGTTACACGAATTCGTCTCATAAATACACACGATGACTCGAAAAGGAAATTTGGTCCCATGAGATTCAAACAACAGCAATCTTGTATACATAAGCCGAAGTCAGTCAATGAGAAGTTGATTGGTGTAGGAAACTGATCCAATTAACAAACCAGCGCGGCTTTCACCTTTCCGCCATTGATGGGTGAGTTCAAAAGGCAGATTAGTGATTTTACGGAAATCACTGTCTGTGCTAATCAGACTGGAACTGATAAGGTGCCCCTATTAGTGATAGGGAAATCATTAGATAAACAAATGCTTAGGCGGAGGAATTAGGACTAGATCATCTTTTTTTCTACCCTCATAGACATACCTATGTCTCGAATATATCGATAAGTTGAATTTATTACTTGGTCCCAGCGATTCGACTCATCGGGATTTGACTGTAATTCTTATCCTAATGATTTTTCTGGTGACTTTCTACCTCTATGCTGTCCTCACTGTATACCCCCAGGGATTAGGAAAGGCAGGGGCCATGGGCCATTTTTGCACATTAGAATAAAAAATGGCCCATTAAAATTTTGAAGTTGACTATTGATACAAGGGCAGTGGCCCATTCTAAATTCAGAAAATGGCTAATAATCCTGAAAATGGCCCATTGTCAAAGTTCTCTATCCCAATCCCTGTACCCCTCACATAAACTTACCACAGAGATATACATTTTAATTTAAATTGAATGAGGAATAGTGTCTTTTTATTTTGGTTATGTATTTATTTATTTATGCTTAAATTTGAATATTTAAAAAACATATTTGCTGTTGCTGTACTATTACTTGGGTCTGGGGATCAATGTGCACTTGATTTTTCCTTCTCATTGATATGGAATCAAAGTCCAGATTCAAACAGTTTCTTAGTTCAAGTGTCATCTCTTTGCTGTCCACTCTATCATTCATGCTTGTAACCCTGGTCCTACAACTATGTGACTTCAACAATGGTCACATTCATATTCACTATGCCAACAGACATACAATACAAACTTCAACGTGAAAATACCCGTGCAGGTCTGGGTTAGAATTGATCTTCAGTAACCCATGCTTGTCATAACTGGATCGGGTGGCCAGGCTCGCTGACTGGCTTTCATCCTATCCCAGTTGCGCAGATCGATGCTCATGCTGTTGATCCCTGGATTGTCTGGTCCAGACTCAAATATTTACAGACCGCCACCATATAGTTGGAATATTGCTGAGTGCAGCGTAAAACTAACTGACTCACTCACTCACTCACTCACTCCACGTGAAAATGTGAACGGCAGCAGTTTGCTGAGCATGCAAGTGTACAATAGACAAGTATGCGCATTTTATCACATATTCACCTCCTTCATGGGATCAATTCAAACCTAGAGTGGAGACTGGTTACATAATGCTCCTGGTTGTCAGAGGCATTTTGTGTTCATGGCAGTTAACAAAGAACATGACATGCTCACCTTAGTGCAAGGATCTTGTGTCATCACAGATTTTTAATGATCCATTCACATAGTTTTACTGCGGTTTCCTAGATAATTTGGGGTGATTATACTCTGATGTTGACATTTTGTATTGAATGGATTGTGTGCTAAGGGTCGGCAAGTTCAGGCCTACCAAAGAAATCTTTCCCACTGTGCGGGAAAACGCAGAAAAGCCCACATTAATCGTGGAAATAGCAACATAAACACATTACCTCGCTACTGAAACAGTAAAAACGGCAATGAAAAACTATGAAACTGCAACATTTTTTATATCAGCGAACTTTGACCTCTACTGCGCATGCGCATTACGGTCTCGGCTTCTTTCCAATTTCCGAGCAACCGTGAATCGCCTCGCGTAGAAAAAGGATTAAATATGTTGAAATAATTGCTGTCAATCGTTTCATACAAATGGAAAGTAAACTAAACAAGTGTGCACACAAGTATCATGATGATAAATGCTAAATAACACAACAGAAATACTTAAAAAGGAATGTAACTTTTGTCAAGGTAGGAAAATGTCAACATGCGGTCGAGACTTCCTCTTCCATGTGCGCATGCGCAAAATCGAAGTTGCGGGCTCCTCGTTTTATGATGCAGTGTTAGCGATTTAAAGTTGCCGTTTTTACTGTTTCAGTAGCGAGGTATTACATTTATGTTGCTATTTCCACGAATAATGGGGGCTTTTCTGCGTTTTTCTGCCCAGTGGGGAAGTTTTCTTTGGTAGGCCTGAAGTTACTAGTATTTGATTGAGTGTAATCGTTCCTTCATGTCATGGACTATTGCTCAGATTGCAGCATTAGACAGGTTACTAACTCATCAGCCATGGACCTACTCACACCAAGAAATCGACCTTGGGTATACATCTATCTTGTTCAAAATATTCAGCATTCTGTTTTTGTGCCATGCCTTAAAATGTTGAACATACGTCTATGTATTAACTGGACATTGCTGCAGAATTGTGATAGGATTGTGTGTCCCATATTTAAACTCCCATATTTAAACTCCCATATTTAAACTCCCATATTTATTTCTTGATCATCGTTGACAGTAGTGATACTCAAGCTTAATGTTTAATTGAATTCTTTGTTGTGTCTTTGTTAGTCTGTTGTTATTTCCTCTAAATACTTTGAAATTCAGCCTGTCACAAATTGTCAGTGATATTCTATACCAGAAAGATCCGGGTTAATACTGGTCTTCAGCAGCCCATGTTTGTCGTGAGAGGCGACTAACAGGATCAGGTGGTCAGCCTCGCTGACTTTGTTGACACATCATCGTATCCTAACTGCGTATATCAATGCTCATTGTATTGATCACTGGATGGTCTGGTCCAGACTCGATTATTTACAGGCGGACAAGAAATAGCAGGAATATTTCTGAGTTAAACAACAAACAAATGTACACCAGAACCAAGTCCACGTCAGTACAAGATCAATGAAGTATACAGATTTCAATATTCAACTTTCTTTCATGGGTAAAGGCCTTTCATTGTATGGTAGATGCCCTTGAGATTGCACCTGCTCTGAAAACTGATAGCATTTTAACCTTCATGACATGGAATGTGTATCAGTTTACACAGCCTTTGAAATTCAATCTGTTTGCAATGTGATCTTAACGTTATGGAGGACGAGATCCACGTCCTGTTTATTTGTAAAAAGCATCATGACCTGAGATTAAATTATCTCCCAAGCCTAGCTATTGTTAAGCACTATTCAGTGAAACTCTTGTGTAATACAGTCAAATCCCGATGAGTCGAATGCCGGTGTCTCGAACATTATGCATAACTCGAAGTACCTGTCGGTCCCGACCATTCCCTGTTATAGTTGTCATCATTTGAATACCGGTTACACGAATTCGTCTCATAAATACACACGATGACTCGAGAAGGAAATTTGGTCCCATGAGATTCAAACAACAGCAATCTTGTATACATAAGCCGAAGTCAGTCAATGAGAAGTTGATTGGTGTAGCAAACTGATCCAATTAACACCTCACGCCTTTGACGGGTGAGTTCAAAAGGGCAGATTAGTGATTTTACGGAAATCACTGTCTGTGCTAATCAGACTGGAACTGATAAGGTGCCCCTATTAGTGATAGGGAAATCATTAGATAAACAAATGCTTAGGCAGAGCAATTAGGACTGGATCATCTTTTTTTCTACCCTCATAGACATACCTATGTCTCGGATACATCGATAAGTCGAATTTATTACATGGTCCCCAGAGATTCGACTCATCGGGATTTGACTGTATATTAAATACAAATAATGAGGATAATTTACGAGCACTCGCCATTTTTCTTAAAAATGTATTTCTATTGAGATGTAAATGGAAATAGAAATATTGCTGTATTGTTCACTTGTTCACCATGTTATATGTGTTCTATCAAATACAATTGTATTCTAGGCTATGAGGCCGAAATACTGAATATATATATATCATATATCAAATCCACACTAGTCCACGACTACTAGATTATGTCAGGACAAGCAAACAAAGATGTTAATCCATATTTTTTTGGAAGCATTTGAGGGCTATAATCCTGAACCAGTTCTCACTGCTTCCTTTCTGCCACAAATTGGACCTGAGAAAATGTAAACATGGTGAATATATCAATTTAAGACAACTAGGAATAAAGTCTGAAGACTTTTACTTAATACGGTTTACACTGTAGTCCTTGCTTCATGGAAGAGAATCAGGAATCATGTTGTCATGATTAATTGATGAAGAAAGTTGTTCATGTGCTGATGCTTATAGAGTGAAAACCGACAATATAGATAATATACTTACCAATAAATGGATCATATACTTAACAGTAAAAGGATAATATTCTTACCAGTGAAAGATAGTATAATTACCAGTAAAGGCTAATGTTGCAAAGCTCACTTTCCAAGAAATATTCTTTTCTCTAGCCATAAACATTATCATTCAGTTTTTATCATGCTGATCAATGATAAACATTTTTCTGGATAGAATCATTTTCCTCATTAGAAAATATCTGAATTATAAGACATAAACTGGAATTTGTTATGAAGATAAAAACAACTGTAATATTCTTATCAAACACAGAAAGTGAAAAGTAAAGGAGTATTGATTAAATAATTCAAAATATTATTGCTTTGAACATGCTCATGTGCGTTATAGAACTTAACAAATCAGCGGAGCTTATCTAAAATATCACAGGACCAATGAAGATACGGGTTAGAATTGGGATTCAGTAATTCTTGCATTCTTGCATTCTTGTCATAAGAGATGACTAACCGGATCAAGTGGTCAGACTTGCTGACCTGGTTGTAGGGTTATCTCCCAATTGACAGACACCCATTTGAGAGACACCCAATTGGCAGACACTGAACTAGAAGGTTAATTAGGGTAACACCTACGGGTATAATGGAATAGTCCACTGTCTAGTGAGCAGAGCAGGGTGAGCCTGAAACAGGTTCGTTACTCAGAAGTTTGATTGTGGGCAAATAGAACTTTGTTGTGATTAAATGATAAATGATTTCTCTTCTCAAAATTGATTTTACTATCAATTACTGTCGAATATAAAACAGGTTTGTCACTGAGAGGTTTGATTGTGTTTATTGATAGAAAAGACCCCTCCCAATAATAGCATATGTACAACAGAAATTAACTGAGAAAACGTTTTGTTGGAGAGATATAGATATGTACATATTTGAAAACAGTCTGATTTGCAGTAAATTAGACACCTGCATTGCCCAGTAAGATACGATTAATACCAATTAGTGTTCTAATTTTAACAATACTTTCTAAAGATTGTAACAGTTTGTGTTTTTGAGTAGTATACAATGGACATTCAAGGAAGTAATGAAAAACATTCTCACATCCATGGTCACATTCACATGATGCGTCATATTTTAAACAATTATTCTAAATAAATCGTAGTTAAGTGCACTCATCATATATCTTAATATTGTGTGCAAAACATATAACTTCTTTATTCCATATGAAAACTATTTAGGTTCATATTTGTCTTTATTTGATTTATACGATACAACAGTGTCGCAATTTCTAATAGCTAAGTTAATGTTTTCAATATGATGATGCCAACTCCCGTTAGACTAGAAGGTTAAACCGAAATGTTTATGAAAATAAGCTGTTTTTATATTGCAGCAATAAAAATTCAAATTACTGTCTTTTCGTCCATCTTTCAAAATAAACAATATAGCTTCAGTTATTCCATTATAATGTGTAGGTAACAGGTAGTAGATAATCTGTTCACTAAACCGTAAATGTTGTTGTTTTAAGGTGTCTGCGAACTGGCTGTCTGCGTAATGGGAGGACACCGTTTGATGTGTCATGAATGTGTATATTAGCATGTCAGTCACTGGATTGTCTGGTCTGAACTTGATTAATGACAAAACACGCTTATATTGCTTGAATATAGTAGTGTTAAACAACAAAGACACCAGCCCTTCAAATATCACAGGATTATTTGTTCATTATATCCATATAGGAAAATTTCTTACAGTTTTTAGAATTACTATAATTTTTTAAACAAATGTGAGTGAGTGAGTTTAGTTTTATGCCGCTTTTTAGCAATGTTCCAGCAATATCAAGGCGGGGGACACCAGAAATGGGCTTCACACATTGTACCCATGTGGGGAATCAAACCTGGGTCTTTGGCGTGACGAGCAAATGCTTTAACCACAAGGCTACTCACGCCCTGTTTACATAATGAGTGACAACTAGAACCATGGGATGTTAAAATTAACCTTAGCATTATTACCCTTAGAAGTCGTGGGCGAGAGGATCTGTGTGAATTTTGAAAGCTGTTAGCAGAATATCAGCCACCTGATGTCAATTTGAACAAACCTCATAGTTAGTCATGTACAGTACATGATTAATGTAAAACTGGAACGTGTGATCAGTGGACTTGCTGGTAGGACATTGTTAAAGTTCAAAATAACATACCTTACCTTGAAACACTTAACTGAAAACAGTGGCACATCTGTGACAAAAATATGTTGTATTTCAATAGTTGGTATTCAGACCTTTCATAAATTGCATTGGAACTATAACTGGAATTTAATGGATTGTGGAAATAAAATGTCATGGAAGAAGTATCATAATTCTAACATATGATTCTCTCGCCAAACATATTTTGTTTTTTGTTTAGCTGTAACTATGGCAACAGCAGTAGTTGAGGTAAAATTGGCATGCCCCTGTTCCTGAGGTCTGTGTGTCTGTGGTTATTTATTGTGCTAGATGACTGAGATACTACGACAGAATAGTCTACTCTAGTATTCTTGCTTCATGCTAAGCAGGGGGCAGTGGGGTAGCCCAGTAGTTAAAGCGTCCGCTCGTTATGCTGAAGACCCAGGTTCGATTCCCCACATGGGTACAATGTGTGAAGCCCATTTCTGGTGTCCCCACCATGATATTGCTGACATATTGCTAAAAGTGGCGTAAAACCATACTCACTCACTCACTCACAAACTTCCATGTGAAAATACCCGTGCAGGTCTGGGTTAGAATTGATCTTCAGTAACCCATGCTTGTCATAACTGGATCGGGTGGTCAGGCTCGCTGACTGGCTTTCATCGTATCCCAATTGTGCAGATCGATGCTCATGCTGTTGATCCCTGGATTGTGTGGTCCAGACTCAAATATTTACAGACCGCCACCATATAGTTGGAATATTGCTGAGTGCAGCGTAAAACTCACTCACTCACTCACTCACTCACTCACTCACTCACTCACTCACTCACTCACTCACTCACTCACTCACTCACTCACTCACTCACTCACTCACTCATGCTAAGCAGACCTATTCATAAACCCCATGGTGTGGCTGAAGGGCCACCGTCATTG